TAGATTGCGGACTGTCATATACTTTTGTCATCCACAGTTCAGATGTCCAATTAAATGGTCCTAATCTTGCATGCAAACAAGAAAAGTTAACTAAATGAAAAATAAAAATTACTTGTCTATGGATTTTAATCAAACATGTATTAATGAAGGACTGCTAACTAAACACACATGCACACACCTGTATGTATGTGCAACTTTTCCACATAGTATGAGAGAGAAAGAGAGTCATGAAAGATTGAAAGAGAGAGAGTGAGAGAGAGAGTGTGTAAGAAAGGGTGGAAGAAAGTAAGAGAGAGAAAGTAAGGGAATGTATGATCAAGAGTGAGTGAGGGAGAGTGAGAAAGTAAGAGAGAGAAAGAATGAGAGAAAGTAAGAACTAGAAAGATTGAGGGAGAGAGTGAGAAAGTAAGAGAAAAAGAGAGATAAAGCAATAGAAAAAAAAGAGAGAGAAAGAAAAAAGAGAGAGAAAGAAAAAGATACTAGTTACAGTTGTTCAAGTTGAGAGAGTGAGTAAGAAAGGGTGAAAAAAAAATGACAAAGAGAGTGAGAGATAATGATTAAGTGAGAGAGAGAGAGAGAGAGAAAGAGAGAGAGAGAGCAGTCACAGTCAGCCAAGTTGTTTGTCAACTTGGGGTAAATGATGATGACAGATCATTATAAGAATTCTCATTATTTGGCTGAGCATTTAGCATGCTTGCATGTTGATTTAAAGAGAGAGGGGGGAGAGAGAGAGAATGAGAAGGAGAGAGAGAGAGAGAGAAAGAGAAAAAGAAAACAGCAATCGTAATAGAAAAAAGAAAGAAAAAAAAAACACAAGTTTTGTATTTCACTGGCTGCCAATTTTATAGTTTCTTAATTAAATGTCAGTGAGAAAAATAATTATTCCTTGGCAAAATACTTTCATACTAAACTTGACGCATACAAAATAATTTATTGATTGCCTTGTTATATCATTTGTGGATTTTTCCCAGAGATATACATTGAGGAAAATGTTGTTGGAAGATGGGGAAGTAAAAAATGAAGGGAACGAATAAAAATATGGTGAGAGGAGGGGGGGCTGGCTAGGAAGGTATAAAAAAAGAAAAAAAAGATTTACAATACAATGTTCATTTCATTACATACTTGTGTGTATTGCATAATATATAAGGCATGATTTACATACATCCATATAATGTAAATGTGTGGCCGTGATTATTAAGCAGATATATATATATATATATATATATATATATATATATAAATATATAGTAAGAGTGGGGAGGGAAGGGAGAGTATAATAAATGTATTACATTTAGATGTATATTGTGTATTATGCCTGTTCATATACAGATATATTGCAATATGCAAGAGAGGAAAATATTCTGACTGTACTCTCATCTTAAATCGAATTAGATTATAACATTTTGACAGATGGATCTTCCTGAAATGGAAATGCACAATACAGTAAGGCTTTAGGGCTAAAATAATCTTTATATATATATATATATATATATATATATATATATATATATATATATATATATATATATATATATATATATAAATACCTGTCAGCCTATATATGCATATTCAAATGTATGTGTGTATAAGCAAACATATGTAAATATGTAACAGACAGTTAAACACATACAATTATATAGACATATGTATCTCCAGAAATTATATAACTCACACACATTTGAATATGCATATATAGGCTGACAGGTGTATATAAAATATAAATATATAAGGTGCATGTGTGTGTATTCAATGGATCAACACTAAATTCAACTAATTTATCTGATTGACCAATGCAAGAGTTTAATGACAAAATGCTCATCATTCTGATGAATTTCTTAAATTCTTGTAATTTCAGTTTTTTAATTGCATATATATATATATATATATATATATATATATATATATATATATATATATATATATATAAATATTAAATGTTAAAATGATAATCCGTATGGGATTTCCGAGGATAAAGATCCAAGGAGAGCTCTATGTCAGTGTCAGAGCAAAATTATTAATTAATGAATATCAAACACAATACCATAGGTAATGATATCTATTTCATGAAATCTATAAAAATAGCTTTCAATCTTTCAGACCTGGTATTTTATATATATATATATATATATATAATAAAATAATAGCTGGCCACTTGTATTTGAGGATACCCGTCTACTATGGTGGCTAGCCAATCCCTATTGTAGATGTTTGCTTAGGCACATTTGTGTTTGCACAAAACCCACAGAGTTCACGTATATATATATATATATATATATATATATATATATATATATATATATATATATAGAGAGAGAGAGAGAGAGAGAGAGAGAGGATGTAGCAAGTAACGCTACATAGAAACTGTTTGTTTCACGCTTCAAACATCTTCAGTTATGGGCCCATTCCATATATAGACACTATCTCTGATACTGAGCGGTTTTCCTTCATAAATAGCAGATGTTAAGCAGTGTGTGTGTGTGTGTGTGTGTGTATATACATACACACACGCACAAATGTTAAATACAATGAATTAGCCTATACATCATCTATAGACAATCTATGTAGATACAAATTACAGATACATATAAATTTATATTAAATAAAATTGACCTCCTTACAAAAAAAAAAAATATAGAAACTTAAAAAAAAAACAAAAAAAAAAAACAGCTGCTGGCACCAGTTGACAGATTTATTACATATTTATGTGCTTTTGAAATTTATATGTTTAAAGGTAAGTGATATTAGTAACCACCCCAAAATTTTTAAAAACAAACAAACAAAATAAAGCTGGTGTATCAAACAATGATTTCTTGCAAATTGAAACAAGAATTAAAAAATCTTTCTTTTCTTGACTTCATAGTTTGGTTTTAATCAATCTTATGGCCTCAACTGAAGAAAAAAAAAAAACAACAAAAAACAAACTAAAGCACTAAAATTGAATAACCTTAATACTAATTCAGTAGTCAACAATTGCAATACTGTTGCCAGTTACATGGAAGGAGATCACATTTGACCATAAGTTGAGTAAACGTTTTTCCTCATTATCTAAAATGAGGAAAGACACCAGGCCCCAGGTATTCCAACTCTGTGGCAGCACCTTCCTCATTGCCCTAAGAGAGGTGGGGTTGAGGTAATAGTAAGGCCTGTTTGACAGTGGTTGCAAGAACTAGGTAATTTTTGTCCAAAGATGCCACTTCATCAATCTGACATGAGACCAGGAAAGTGAAGCAACAGAAATTTAACTTATGATGGAATATAGAACAAGACTACTGAACCCCTGACAAGTATATATATATATCTCTGACAGAGCACTGAAAATACACACACACACATGCGCACACATCTATCTATCATTTATTTTTTAAACTGGGATATCTACTCAAAATCATATCCCCACTAAATATAATGCATATTGTAATAAGAAATATTGTTGGATCAGAAATGCCCATTAATAAGTCACTCAATCTCTAGCCAAGTATACATTAATTTCACTGTTACCCCCCGCCAAAAAAAAAAAAACAAAACAAAACAAAAAACAAAACAAACAAATCCACAAAATACAATGTATATTGTAACAAGAAATACAAACACACACACACACACACACACACAGTTACTCAAAATTTTAGGGAACTTGAGGTATGAAGTGGCTTGCTTAAAGAAAAACAATATATATATGAAATTAGCTTTTTTTTTAAATTTAATATTGGAGTGATTTTACAATAGGTGAAAAGTCCAGTGAGTTAACTTGACAGAAACAGATTTATCAATCTGTTCAAATTCCATAAACTTCAGAGTAAAATAATAGATAGATAGAAAGATAGATAGATATGAACAAACTGAAATAGATACATAGATATGAACAGAGTAAGATAGATAGATAGATATGAAAAGACAGAAATAGATATGAACAGACTAAGATAGTTATGAACAGAGTATGATAGATGAACATGAACAGAGTGAGATAGATAGATAGATAGATAGATAGATAGATAGAAATGAACAGTGTGAGAGAGATAGATAATGAACAGAGCGAGAGAGATAGATAATGAACAGAGTGAGATAGATAGATAGATAGATAATGAACAGAGTGAGATAGATAGATAGATAGATAATGAACAGAGTGAGATAGATAGATAGATAGATAATGAACAGAGTGAGATAGATAGATAGATAGATAGATAATGAACAGAGTGAGATAGATAGATAGATAGATAATGAACAGAGTGAGATAGATAGATAATGAACAGAGCGAGAGAGATAGACAGACATGAAGAGTGAGATAGATAGACATAGTGATATAGACAGATAGAAATGGAGTGATATAGATAGAAATGAACAGAGTAAGATAAATAGATAGACAGAAATGAACAGTGAGATAGATAGATAGATAATGAACAGAGTGAGATAGATAGATAGATAATGAACAGAGTGAGATAGATAGACAGACATGAAGAGTAAGATAGATAGACATAGTGATATAGACAGATAGAAATGGAGTGATATAGATAGAAATGATTCATTTCTATCTAGATAGAGATAAATATAGTGAGATAAATATATAGAAATGAACAGAGTAAGATAGATAGAAACCAAAGATTCCTTTGTGATCTCTATTTGCAAAAGCATTTACATATTTAAGGAGACTGGTAGGCTCAGATGATTTACATGTAATTTTCACTTTTCAGTTACTTTTTCCATCATCCTATTTTGACCTTTATTATTCTTAAATCAAAACCCTTCTCATTATTAAATTTGATGACTATTATTTCTTTCTTTTTTTTTATGTAGTCAACATAGATTAAAGATAATGTTATGATAAACAAGCAATGATAAGATGAAGAAAAAGCTCATCAAATATTCATATGTTGCTTTTATCTGAATAAGTGGAGCCATGAGTTTAAGTTTAGTCAGGAAAAATGAAAAATAAATTAACACAATTTTTACTTTATCGTGCAAATGGAACTGATACAGATTTTAAAATAAGGCATGAAAAATTGTCATGTTTGTATATCAAGAAAATGAAAGGTGAAGTAAAGAGAGAGAAAGATGGACAGATAGATACCAATGAAGGAGGGGGAAATAGTAAACGAGACAAATGGAGAAGAGGAGAAAAGAGAAAAAGACAGCAAATGTGAGAGAACATCCACAAAAGAAAGAGAAGAGAAAGAGAGAAATGAAAACGAGAGTGGAAAATAAGAAATGAAAGAGAAGAATGAACAAATGAAAAAGAGAGAAGAATGAACAAATGAAAAAGAGAGAAGGGGACAAATGAAAAAGAGAGAAGGGGACAAATGAAAAAGAGAGAAGGGAACAAATGAAAAAGAGAGAGTAAAGAAAAATGCAAAAGAGAGAAAAGAGAACAAATGCAAAAGAGAGAGAAGAGAACAAATGAGAGCAAGGGAAGAGAGAAAAGGACATTGGAAAGAGTAAAGAGAGAAAAGAGCAAAACAAAGAGAGGAGAGAGAAAAGAACAAAACAAAGAGAGGAGAGAGAAAAGAGCAAAACAAAGAGAGGAGAGAGAAAAGAACAAAACAAAGAGAGGAGAGAGAAAAGAGCAAAACAAAGAGAGGAGAGAGAAAAGAACAAAACAAAGAGAGGAGAGAGAAAAGAGCAAAACAAAGAGAGGAGAGAGAAAAGAACAAAACAAAGAGAGGAGAGAGAAAAGAACAAAACAAAGATAGACGAGGGAGAAAAGAACTAAAGAAAGATAGACGAGGGAGAAAAGAACTAAAGAAAGAGAGAGAAGAACAAATGAAACAGAAAGAGAGAAAGAACAAAAGGGAGAGATAAAGAGAGACCAAATGAAGGAGAGAAATAGTAAAAGAATGTGGGGAGACAGCAAGGAAGATGAAAACAGCCATTAAAGAGAGATGGATATACAATGGCCTTGTTTGAAAGACGAACAAAGAGGCAGAAGAAAGAAGAAGAAAAAGAAAGCGTGAAAAACAAAAAAAAAATACCAAAAGCATAAACGGACACAAGAGAATCAGGAAGAATCACAGAGTCAAATACATATTTAGATAAATTCATAATGGTAAGCAGAAGATTTGTCATTTTGCTGTGAACAGCAAGAAAAACACAAAATAGGAGACATAGAAAAGAGAGGAAGATGACAGTAGATGAAGACTGAAAAATAATTTCAAGATGTGAGTGTATAAACTAATGAGGGGCTGAATGGGATAGAGATGAAAAAGATTTCAAATCTATTCTAGAAATGAAGTTGGCCATGAGAACGAAACGGCAGGGGTGTGCTTGAGGTCCAAGTGGGGGTAAGGAGGCTATACAAGAGAGTTAAATGAAGTTTCAAGTCAGATTTGTCATTACAGTAAATAAGGTCTCCTTCCTTTTTACCAAATTTATCTTAATTCTAGATGTAGAGGAAAGAAAACTAAAACCTGGTCACTCGTACATACATTTTAGAAATCTAATTAATTTGTTTTTACGCTGGTAGGGGAGACTAAAAGGCTTCATTTTCTTTTTTCTTTTTTATGCAGAATCCTTTTGGTAATCCAAAACATTAATGCATATTTATGGTATACTGATATCTATGTGGGTCATCAGAGAAGTGACAAAGAGTCGAGTTCAAATTCCAATCAAGTTTGTTGCATTTATTTATACTTGGGAAAGGTATGAATCACTCTCACTCCTCCCAACTATGGATTAAACAGTAATCCTTGTACTGGGAGAAATCATTGTTATTTCCCAAAATAATTCTTAATGCAATATTCACTTATAAAAAGGAGAAGAATTAATCTTACAATCCAAAATATGTTTTGGCTTTAAATAACCTACAAAAGTTGGTAAGCTGTAAAAAACAGAAAAAAAAAAAAAAAAAAAAAAAAAAAGAAACAAAAAAAAGAATAAAAAAAAGATAATTTTTATTTCTCGGTTATTTGAGCAATTTTATATAATGTGCAGTGTAAGCAAGTAATTATTTTTGGGGAAAAAATGTTTTTGGTTGAATATTTTAACCAGCATATTAATTATTAATTTTCTGCACAGAGATCATTAAGATAAGTTTACTGAAATGTTTTAATTAGGTATACCTAATTAGAAACAATTGAGCAAGGTGAGAATGCACCCTCCTTGCTTATAAAATGCCAATCTATGTTTATCAAGAAGAGAACAAATGTCTTTTTGTTTTACCATTTAAAATTCAAAACTCAAGAGAGCTTCTTTGTGAAAATGGTCAAGAGAAACGATTTCTTAATTTTCTAAGACATAGACACACAGATTCATAAAAGTAAACTGGAGATGGGACTCACAGACTTTATAAAAGTAAATTGGGGAGGAGACACACAGACTTTATAAAAGTAAATTGGGGAGGAGACACACAGACTTTATAAAAGTAAATTGGGGATAGACCTTTCAAATTTGTGGTGGTGGAAGATTTTTAAAAGGGGGGGGGAATAATTACTAATCTATGTGATTGCATTCAAAGTATTTCATGAAATTTCAAGAAAGTAATTTCAAATTTGTATTTGAGTATTGTCAAATGAAAAATAAGAATGATGTCTTTCTACTTATTTATTTATTTTTATTTTGGTTTCCATCAAAGTGACTGAAAAGCTTACAGCCACATCACATTGTTACTGTATGATCGTTGAAATTATGCAACGTCAAACAGGGTCAGTACTTAGGTGGGTGACTGCTTGGGAATACCAGGCACTGTAAGCTTAGATATGTGGGTAATATAATGGATAATGGCTCGGAATTGGAAATCAGAGTTCCAATTCCTGTTTGGTTTGTTATATTCACTTACATGCAAATATCCGTGGGATAGGTATGAATCCACCTCTTCTTCCCCCAACTATGGGTTAATTAATTAGACTTGTATCATTAAAACCATTATCATCTCAAAACAAAATTCTTACAACCTAAAAATATTTTCTGATTTTAAATAACCCACAAAGGAAACAAATCAAATAAAAGTAACTGCATTTCATTTTAAAGTACAGAAACTTAAAATTTTTATTTCCTGACAACAAACTCAATTTAATGGTTAAATTTTAACAGTATTTTTATCTTGAGGAATCAAAAACCTTTCAACCCCTCTCCTGAATGATCAATCTTGTACATATATTTATGAAAACAGTTTTTCAGGAAATAAGGTTTCTCTTATTGTTATCACTCTTTCAAATATTAACAGGAGTTTCCTTCCAAACCTTTTGTTTTTGGTGTGGTGGAAAATCAACATTTTGATTGCATCATTATTTTCTCTTCTAGTTACATGTGGTACCCATTTCTTATTGTTTCTGCCATTGGAAGTTTTCAAGTGATGTGGTTTCTGTTAATTGGTAAAGATCTTTCTGATTTTGTAACACCAAGTCTATAAGGCCTGATAAAAGATTGATCATATTTACTTATGATATTTTATCTTGGAAAGCAGAAACATTTCAACCTTCCTCCCAAATGGTCATCTTGTATATTTTTTTAGTTGGTATTTTTTCATCTTTGCATGAAGATGAGACTAATGCTGTCAAAAGTTTGAAATAAGTCGAAAAAAAATACTAATACAAGGCATAGCATTTCTTTAATCGCTATCAAACTAGAATTTTCATTACCCAGAAGGAATTGACAGGTTAAATCTATTTTTTTGTGTGTCCTCAGAATAAGGGGTAACATTTAGGATTTTTATGGAAGTGGCCAATGAAAAAGATTCAGCATTTTTTGTCTTTTTCAGGGGTAAAAAGAAAATGCAATTTAATCATGTTTTTTTCTTTTTATGCTTCCATCTATCTATGTATAAAATTTTGTGACTGCCATTGGTCTGTCCGTCAAACCTTCTAAGATAGCTATACATTGACTGATCTAAACCAAATTTTGGGGAGAAGTGCAAACAGGTAAGGCGGTACAAAGTACATTTTGTTTTACTAGGGTGAGTAGCTTAGTACAATAAATTTTCATTCATTTTTGGGAAAATTTAATTTTATTATTTAACTAACAAAATATTCCGACTATTTTAAAAATAATTAAATTTGAATTAAAATAACAAATACTTATTTACTAAAGATAAAATATTGTTTTTTACATGTCTTTCTTTTTAAGTTTTTATATTTCATTGATTGGTTTGCAGAACTGAATGCAACGTATAGTTTGTAAATCGCGACAAAAAATGTTAGTGATAACTTCAACAATACTAAATACTGTAAGGATTTCAACACATGTTAGCATGTTGCAAAAAAAATAACATTAAGATTAGGGACATTAGCTTTGGGGTTGAGAACTAACAAAAAAGACTCTAAAGTGTCTTGTATCAAAGAGAAAATGTCTAAAGGGGAATTATTAGAGAGGATAATATCAAAGTAAAATGGATTCTTTAGTGGCTTATGGGGCAAGAGTGAAAAATACTGATGTATGACTTAATGAACAACAAATATTGAATCTATATATAAAACTAGTTCTGTATGTCTGTGAATGGTGGATTAGTTCAGTAACTGGAATGACGAACTGTAACCAGAATTATTGAATTAAGGTACACTTTAAAATATACCATCTTAACACAAAATTAAAAAAAGAAAACAGCATTCTACAGAAATGCATATCTCCTAGAAATAATAATTTTTTTCAATTTTTTTTTGTTCATATTGCTATTGAATAAGCACTCCAGATCATATATCAAAAGAATTTTTTTTATGTTTTTGTAAATTTTCTAAGAGGGGGTTCAGTTTTTTTATGTAAATTTATTGTAAATTGGTCCCCTATAAAAGCAAAAATAAAAATAAAGAAAAAGTACTCATACCACATAAGCTTATGGTCAAATCAAGCTGAAAATATTGCATCTGGTTTGACCACCGAAGTTAAGCAGTGTCAAGCCCAGTCAGTACTTAGTTGGGGGACCACTTGGGATCACTGGGTACTGTAAGCAATTTATCAAAATCCAAAATATCTTTTAGGGTTAAATAAATCACAAAGTCATAAAAACCAAAACAATCAATCATACCACATAATATAGAATAATTTTACCCACAAAATTTTAAGTTTAAATAAAAACAAATTAATATTTATATTATTTAAAGCTTATTCTTACTTAACTTTTTCCTGTGTGGCATTTTCAATTTATTTTGAAATGGCCAGAAAATATTAATTTAATTTAAATATTCTTTTTCTTTATTATTATTATTATTTCCCTTACTTAACTTTAAGGGTCACATAAGGGGCTCAATTTACAATGTTTTTATAAAGCAAAATGAATCCTGCTTTTAAAATTGAAAAAATTTTAATTTATTTATTTTTGGTTTTATTTATTTTTATTTTTGTTATCAGGAGAGTTTAACTGACATGAGTATTAAAAAAAAAAAAAAAAAGATTATTTCTTAAAGAGGTGAATTTCTGTAGAAAACTCCAAGTCCAGTTGATGTGCAAACAAATGACAATATTGTGGGGTCTTAGTTCATGCTCAACTGAGAGTGTAGAATGATTTTACAAGGGAGATAAATATTAAATCCTAATTATAAAGTACTATCCTTTTATTCATTATTTGCATAAGAACCAAAAAATTTGAAAAAAAAAAAAAAAAAAATATCACACACACACACACACACGCGCACACACACACACACACAAAAGTGCCTCATTTGTATATGAAATACAGAAAATAGCATCATAAACTTTGAAGGAGCAAATTCAATGATATATCCCCACCCATTTAATTTATGAAAGGAGGCTCACTTCACTGGGTTGTCTAAAATTCATATTAAGTTTAAAAAATTCTCATGGTTTGTTTACTTGGTAAAACTAGTGAGCTCAATGTTTGAGAATAGTAAAAGATAAAAAAAAACAGTTTTGTTCACATTAAAATTCATAAGTAACTCTTAATATTATAATAAAACAAAAAGAAATCATGTTTTTTTAATTATGCAGAAATCCCACGTTTACTAAAAGTTGCATTGTTATTACTATTGGCTCAATTATAACTCAATCTACCTGGTTGGTGAGACTTGTTACTATAAAATTAATCAAGATAAAAAAATGAAAATCATTATAACTTAAACAACACAAAAAGAGAATAGATCACAGAAAAAAAAAAAAAAAAAAAAAAACTGGTAATATACCAGTAGACATAACCAATATAGTCATAAGGATTGCCTATAACAGTCTTTCTCCATGGGAAGAGAAGTGTGTTTGGCAATGTAACTATTTATTTTGTGAGCAGAGAAAGCAGACCTGGGGGTAGGGTGTGAGCTACCTCCACCCCTCAGAAAATCATTTGCCCCTTACCTCTGAAAATAATGTGAACTAATTTTAGCATGCAAATTCTTACTTGAAGTTCCCCTGACAAAGGCTACCACCTCCACTCGAAGCACTCTGGTGATAGGCCTAAGAGAAAGCATATAATGATAAAAAAAAAAAAATTTTCAAATTATTATTATTTAAAAACTAATTAAAATTTATTGGAGATTTTTGTAATATTTGTTCTCTATTAACTTAGAAAAGAGTTTAAATGTAATGTTATATTGGACAAATTGTGCAAGGTGTACTGGATTTAATCAATGTAAGCTAATATTCACTTAATTAATTCAAATGAATATTCATGTTATCAATGATGAGAAAAATGTTTACTACAGATTCCATATCATCCATGATGATATAGGCTGCAGTGATTTTAGTTTAAACAGATTTACTTTTTTTTTTTTGCTTGAAAAAAAAAAATAAATAAATTAATAAAAAAAAAATATATATAAATAAATATAAAGAGTAAAACTACTAAATTTATCTTCTTAGCTTCTCAATCTACTAATAATACTATTGAGTCGAGTTGTATCATTTATCTAAAATCATTACTAACATTAATTTTCAAAATAAATAATAAATCTTAAACTTACTTAAAAAAAAAACTTCTGAAAAACAAAAAAACTTTTATATGCGGAAAAGTTTATACTTATTTCAGAAAATAAGTACAAAAGAACATGAAATAAATAATAAATGTGTTTAAAATCAAAACAAAAATGTTTATAGCAGAATAATAGGTTTTAAAAATATTAATTTTATGAGAGAATCAGTTAAAAGTCAAGAATCTTTAAAGAAACAAAAAAAAGAAAAAAAAGAAAAAAAGACAAACCAAAATAACCATACCATCTTAGCCTACCAAACCCTACCATATTCAACATCTGATTTAGTTCCAGAACTTTTTTTTATTTTGTGGCGCCATACCTTCACACATTACCAAAAATAAATACATAGAGTTTTTTTCTTTTTAGGGAACGGTGAAAATCACCAAAATAAATAAATAAAAATAGGCCCAAATTGAACCAAGCCATTTGAAGAGTGTCAATTTCTTTTTTGGAGCTGGAGTGTCCGGCATATGATATTCAAAAAAATATGTTGAATTAATAAAAAAAATTAAATATAAAATAAAATAAAAATAAATAAAATTAAAAACTAAATAAAATATATGGGAATAAATAACAATTAATTATAAAAGAATTAAAAAAATAAATAACAAAAAAAAGATAATTAATTTGCTTACTTACTCAAGCAAGATGAAGTGTCGTAAGAAAGATTCATGAAAAAAAAATTCTCTAAGTGACAGGTGAACTAAATTTTTTTCTTCTTCAAAATTACTTGCTCAAGTTGGTCGCGCACCAAAGTTGGATCCGTTGTTGTTGTCACTAGGTTTTATGGCTAAAGACTGAATATTCTTTTTGGTACAACCACAAGACAATATAAACCCAAATGAATATATCAACAACAACTACAATTGATAGCGGTAACAATACTAATAATAAGAGGGGGCGCAAAATAAAAGCATAATCAACATTGTCTTCATAAAAAAAAAAAAAAAAAAAAAAAAGTCAAAGTAGTTATAGACACGGTCCAAAAACAGCGGATAAAAAGGCGCAAAGGGCGGAGGAAAGAAATGTGATTAGGGTTTGAGAGAGAAAAGAGAAAAGGGAAGGATAATGAGAAGGAGGGAAGAAAGGGGGTGGGAGGAGGAGAAAAAAAAAGAAGAAAGATCAAAATTAAGCAACATAAATTACTACACAAAATAAATATAAAAGGGGAAAAAATGGCCACCTAAACGAAGCAATCATCAAGAAGTTGAGATATTTAAAATGATTAGTTAGTATCTTACGGAGAATTATCGTTATAAAGACAAGCGCACGCACACACACACACACACACACACACAAAGATTTTCTAAAACTGACTGACTTGCCTATATCATTTACAACTGGTAATGAGAAGCGACCGCCACACACATACATACAGAAAATAATGCTTACACAGTTAAAATAATAATAATAATAAAAGAAAAACAAAAAACACAGGTATATATAAACTAAAAACATAACACACAATAAACTCTTTTTATTTACAGATCTCTAAGCGCACAAAAAATAACGCAGAAACATTACAAGCTGATAAATAATGGCTTAAAAAGATAAAAGAGAAAGTTTTGCGTATAACTGTATATAGAGATTAATCGAGGTTTAAATTAGCGATAATGTACGCAAACATATATATATTTGTGTGTGTAATATAATAATAATATATAGAGAGGCTTGTCCACAAATTAGATGTGGAAATAACAAAACTACTTTTTAATTAAGATATGCACAAATACATTCAATTTATATATACATACAATTTTGCATTTATATATATATATATATATATATATATGAGAGAGAGAGAGAGAGAGAGAGAGAGAGAAATAAAACAAAAGGAAAACTTTTCTTTACCAAATGTGTCCCCTGAGGAACTTTATCAAGGTAAATGTGGAAATTTTATTTTTTGTTTTCTAGTTATACTGTCTTTATAAATATCTTTTATTTACATGTCAATTTTTATACACACACACACACATCTGCATACATACATACATCCATATATATAAATACATACACACAATCTGTGTAGATACATCAATAAATCCATAACTTAATGATGAAAAGATAATTTATTTTACAGTGTACATAATAAATATCTATTTCTTTTTTTGCATAATCCATTGGAGAATATTAATAGTTCAACATTATAGAGTGAAAATTTCAGATCAAATTTTGTTTATAATTACCGTGTTAAGCTACTGGCTTATAGGCCCACTCGGTAATATATATATATATATATATATATATATATAGGGAGTAGAAAAATAGGTATGGCCAAGAAATTTATAAAAACTACCAAAAATACGCCTCCATACAAGTAAAAATTATATATAGTTTTGTAAAATAGTTTGAATTAATACCCAAAACATAAAATGTTAGAAAACTTACCGATACACTCAAAGGTTATTTACATAAATCAGTTTTTAAATTAATGGATACAATAAGATCTCTCTTTCTTTCTCCCTAGCACACATACTTTCATTTCATTTATACACATCCACAAATGTACACACTGATGTGTCTTATGAAGTTGACATGTAGAAAGAACGTTCCTCAAATTAGAGCTAATCTGACAAGACCATATTTATATTAAAGAGAAAAATGCTTCTGTGTAGAATAAAAAATGGTAATAATATGGGACTTCAAGTAAAAGTGAATTTCTTGATGATTGGAATAAGAGAAAAAGTAAAAACAAAACAACAGGTTTTAAAAATAAATGAATAAAGGTTTCTTCTTTTGTCTTCTTAGAGTTTTGTCTCTAAATTTCAGCTGATGAAGTATCACTCTATTATTTAAGGTATCTAGATTTATAAATTTGCCCACGTATCGGACATTTTTCTATTTCACGAAATCTTGCCTTGTGTCACCGACAGCCAATCAGATTACAGAAGAAAGAAACTTTTCTTCCTGTCATTTTATGCACGAATGCCGTATATATCTGGAAATTTGTAGGGGGAAAATGGATGAAGCACACACACACACAAAAAAAGGTAAATAGAATAAAAAATCTATACCTTGATTGTAAAGATGGA